GGTTCCCACTTCTGAGGAACACTTGGCTCCACAAAGGTTATTCGCAATAATTTGTTTAAATTTCTTGTTATAAGTAGACAAACAGGAAACATCATGCATGTTTTCCTCTAGGGAAAAGACTCCAGACTGTGAAACTTCCAGTTGACAAAACAACTTCCTGCTGTTTTGGAGGACAGGATTATTCAGAAATGTATGTGACTTCTGCCAGTGATGGGATGGATAAAGAGTGGCTTTCACGACAGCCACAGGCTGGTGGGATTTTCAAGGTGAATGATGCTTTTTTCTGTAATTTTAGATTGTAATTTTTTTGCTCCTGCATTTTTCAGGTAGCAAGCCACTTGGAGTGGTAGGAAGCAGGAAAAGGGCGGTTGTTTGATGATTGGTCATATATGTTAAACTATTGTTTGTATTTTTAGTTCCTGTTGCAGTATGAGGAAGTTAAATGCATTTAGAGATTTGAAAATAGTTTTGGGTTTAAACTTTGTAACAATGCTGATAGTGTAAATTTTCCGTGCCATCACCTCTTTATCACTATCCCAACACTGTTTGCATTTTCTATTTGTTGTGGAAAGAATGGGTAAATACTCATGTGTCTTAATCAATGACAGATCCACTTTTATTTACTTTTTCATTAATTATAACTAAATTACCTCTTAAAAAATTTGTTACCTTGGGATTTGTTTTAAAGCCCTGCTCTTCTCTGTGTGCATGCTGAAGGTTACATTGTGAACTGCAGAATTAAGGCTTAGTAGTATCTAAGAGAAGAGGCCTTTGGGGGATGGACTCTGACCTGAGATTATTGAGCTTTAGAGAAAGAGCATGTGTTGAAATTCCTGGCTGTGATGTGCTGATGTGTGCAAAATAAAATAGGAGGGCAAATTAGAGTACACAGTCCTTTTCAAATTAAAGCATGTCCAGTTGTGCAAGGAAAGCAAGTGTCTGATAACGGTGGATTATTACTCTAATATTTTTTTCTCTCTGTTTTAATAGATAACAGGACTGGGGGTGAAAGGAGTCCCACCATATCCATTTGCAGGTTAAATACACACTCTTCAGAATGTATTAGAGAAGACCGATGTACACAGGACAAGTCTGAAGGTCTTATTCTGGTGTTCAGCATCTTTTGCTTTGGAACCACAACACCATTATAATAGTTCATCAAGAAAGCATGAAAAACTACTGAAATACATGGAATATTTTAAAACTGATCTTTTCTCTCCCTTTAAATTTACTTTAAATATGTGATGGTACTTTTTCCTGTTGTGCTAAAAAGATTCGTATCCTAATAAGCTTCTATTGTAATTCTATTTTATGATTAAAAATATTTTAATATCGTTTAGTTGTTTATTCTTTCATTTGCAACTTATGCTATATTGATTTCTTGATTGTACAAGAGACTTGTACTGTCTCTTTTACATATTTTTGAAGTTGCTTATAGAATCCCCTTTGGTGGTCTTAGCACTGCTTTAAATGTAACTTCATTTGTCCCATGATATTCTTAACAACTGAAACATTAATACCTATCACTGTGCATTTGCAGCTCTCTTCTTAGAGCCCTCAGCTGTGGCTGTGCTTAAATTAACTCAGTCTGGAACTGATCACCATCTCCTCCCAGTGCATGTCACTATGTTGCTCATTTTGTTAACTATAAACCCAGGCTTGGGGTGAAGAGCCATATCTTTGTCCATCCTTTGAAGATCTCAGCCTATTCTGGGGAGATCCATGATGACAGGAAAACGTTAAGCATTCATGACCATTTGTGCATAAATCTGCCTATACCTCCTCCTGAACCAAACTCCCCCAGAGCACCCAGAGAAGGAAGGTGGGCCCGTGTGCTCAAATGGCCACTGTTTCAAATGTGGAGGAAAAGGAAGTTTTATTACAAATTCTTCACAGCACCTGTTGTAAATGAAAGGTTTATTTACTGGATTGCTTTTCTGCTGGTAACTTCAGGCCTATGTGTGCTGTAACTTATGATGTATCTCAGTTAGAAATTAAACTGGATTTTTGCTCTGTGCCCATCCATCTGTGAGAGAGTAATCCAGCAACTGACTGCCAAGAGGGCCAGTGGCTGTGTGTTTTCTCTCCTGGTAGCTCCAAGAATCAGCACACCATGGTTTGCCAGTGCATCTCTGCAGGCCTTGGAGTTTGAGTTAGCTTCTGATGGATGGGCTTGCCTACTGTGCCCTCGAGTGTGCAGTGGGTGACTCAACTGCCTGGCCCCTGGATCACACTGAGGCCTTGGTGTTCAGAGGTGACTTTGTGCATGTCACTGTTTCCCGTCTTGAAACACTGCAGGGGAATGTCTCAGCAGCTGGGAAAAAAAGAGATTTAAGCAGCTCCACTTCAGGGCAGATGAGTGTGAGAGTGCAGGAAGCGGGGACTTGTTCTTTGGAGTGTCCACCATCCTTCATTTACTTTGCACTACAAGGCAATCTCAAAGCACATTATTGAGAAAGTTTGAGTTGAGGATGATTATGAATGTGGCAATTTTAGGGCTCTGATCTCACTGAAGTGATGAACCCTGAGATAACTGCAGCTCAGGAACCGTGCTGAAGGGCTGCTGTGGTTGATGGCTAATGGAGATCTGGAAATGCAACAGAAAATAAGTGGGCATAAACACAGATAAGCTCCCTCTGCTGTCACTGTTGAAGTTTTGTACCTGTGCTCACCCTCACACCATCACAGTGGCAGTAGGGTGATTGCCAGCACAACACAAAAAAAAATGCCAATTTTTTTTTCTGTTGCTGTTGCTACCCTAGAAAAGTAAGAGCAATAGCTTGTACAGGCATGAAAGATTTGGTCAAAGATTAGTTTATCACAGCTGGTCAAGAGGCACCCATGAAGCACAGGGAGGATGTGGCTGCTGGAACCCCTCATCCTTCATGCCATCTGTGAGTGGGTGGCACTGGGCAAACATCTAAATAACACGTCTCTGCGCATGGGAGCAGAGGCAGGTAAAATAAGCTGCTGCAGACACTTTACAAATGAATGCCACCTCCCCCTTCTGCAAAATCACCTGCTGCGCTTTGCTATGCTGGTTTCCTATGCTTCACATGAGCAGGAAGAGCCAACTCTGCCAGGAGAGTTGTATTTTTAATGTTGCTGAAATGCCCTGGGAGTGCGTCTCAGCGCAGCCTCCAGTGCAGAGGCTGTAGCTGCTTTCCACGCCCCAGCCCCAAGGAGCCCAAACTGGTGCTGCTGGCATATTTTGAGTCCCATGACAGAGCACTGGATCTGGCAAACTGAGCGGTTGCTGGTTCCCTCAATTAGGAAGGCTTCCTCGCTTTTGTTTAATCCCTTGCTTATTAATGGCGCTCACCTCTTTGATCAAAGACCAGCACTGATTTCAATTAGGGTTGAGCAAGAACCCAGTGACAGGAAAGGCTGTATCAGGAGGAGCAGCTGCTGTGCCCTGAAGGATTTTTTTCACCCTCATGACCAAAATCTATAGTCATAGGTGAAGCGTAGTTATTCCCAACCAAGGTGGAGAAAGCTCATGTAATCCTTTGCTGGCAAAATAGCTCTGCTGAAATAAAAGCAGGCGGCACTGACTGCCTGGGGAGCTCCAGTTCTTCCCATCTTGAGCACAGGGGAGGGACCAGACCCTTCCTACAAAAGGGTGAAGCCAGGAAGAGATAAGCCTTGGCTTCACTTTTGAACAACGCTGTTGAGTGGGGTATCGCTGGGGTGAGTAGCTGTACCTGTATCTGCCTGGGGTTTTTTATAGCTGTGTCTTCATTAACTCTAACCATGTCTGTTGTCATCTCCAAGAGGGAGGATGACTGTCTAGGTACATAAAAACTGTAAGAGATCGGGACAATCGAATAACAGGCAAAGTCAAGTTTCTAGACTTCTGAAAGATGGGATGGACCCTCAAGGGGAATAAGCAGCACAAGTATGTTTTGGGGAGCTGTGGGGGAAAAAGAGGGAGCAATGGATTTACTAAATATTTGCAAAGCCACAGGAACAAATTCTGAGCTATTATCTGAGCACATGCCTGTGAGTAACAGAAGACAAATACAGTTACTTAAATACCACATTATGTGTTGTGCTAATATCCTGATGTGCTCTCCCAACTACTCTATGTTGATAAAAAATAGGGACTATAAAAAGAAGCCATAAGAGTTGCATCAGAGGAGATCAGAGCAGTGGGAGAGAGGAAGCTACCCCAGAAGGAGACAATGCAGTGGGGTGTCAGCCAGTGGTACAGGGATCCTCAACTGCCTTTGGCCAACTTCACTAGAAACTTCTGCTTTGTAAACCAGCAACGCTAGAAACAAACAAAGTGCATGGCAGGACCAGGCTCTTTATGTTGTGGAAACAATTAATAGAATAGCTGGCTGCCTAGCAAATATATGCACCTGCTACTGCAGAGTTGCACCACTCATCAACAACATCCACAAAGTCTTTGAGATGTGTCTCCTCCTAAAGTGACCAACTTCTGGAAAGGCAAACAAGACATTGCCATTCTGCAGCATCCATGGCATTTGTCATGGATGGTAAAAGTCCTTCCGCGTGTGTGCTACAGGCAGCAGTTTGAAGCTCTTTGCTGTTGTGAGATCAGCCTTTGCATGTTCAAGGTGAGGAACCCTGCAAGGAGAGCAGGTGACTTCACACACGAGAAGACTGTGGCACAGATGGGAGTAGGAGCCAAGTCTTAATGATGCTAATAAGCCCTAATCACAAGAATATTTTTTTTCTTTATTGCTCAGAGTACTACAAAACCCTCCCCTGCATCTTTCGTTAACCTTCCCTTTTATCACCCTAAATTTGGGAAGACTGGGCTAGCCCTTGGGGCAACTGAATGGTGCAATGCCTCAGTTTTCCTCTCTTGCTCTCCTGACATGAGAAAAATACTGAGCAAGGATTTTTTCCTATCACATGTCCTGCTGCTGGCACTGCAAACCAGACCATTCAGAAGGGCTTTGGTCCCTGCCTCATCATTCATGTGACTGCTGACTGAATACAAAATGTAAAAGGTTACCTGCTCCATGCAGATAACATCAACTGTTGCACATTTTTAACCGTCGCTGAAAACAGCAGCCAGTTTCATTGGACCAGTGCTGGAAAAGAGTCACCAACTCAGGTCTTGCAATATTGTCCTCAGCAGGTGCGTTGATGTGATGAACTGCAGAGTTTCGCATAGGTGTCCTCCAGCTTGGTAAAAATATTCATCTGCTTGACTGAGGGGAAAAGGGTTCTTAAAATTCTTTGGTTTATGCAGATAATTGTTTGTATATTAAAAGTTTTAGCTGTCTGCCTGCTTATTCAAACTTCAGCTTGTCATGAAAAATGAAATGTGTGTTTGCACGGGGGGGAGAGCGGGAGGGAAACAGCAAAGAAATGTTTTAAGGCCAGTCATTAATTTGTACTTTACCTATATCTTTTTGGGGATACTGAAATGACCAATTTTTGTCCAGATCATTTGAAAAGAGATGTGGACTGAGGTTAGAAAGGCTATTTTCAAATAGCTACCAGAGAGAGGATTTAGTTTGTAGAGCAGACAGGATGTTTTTACATTAGTTTTTCATTTCTAACAGGAAATTTTTCTTGTGGTCTCCAAATTCTGGTAACTTTAAACAGTTTAACTTGGAAAATGTTTCAGTGACACCCGTCAGCCCCTTAGTCTCCATAAGGGGTTTAGGCATGAGTCCAGGAGGCTGTAAAGCCAACAAAATATTGGAGAGAGGATATAGGCAGGGTGAATGTGACATGTTTTTCTGCAGGGATTTTGTTTCTGGAGAATATGGTGGGATTTGATCCTTTTTGATTGGAATTTCTCTTGTCTTTCCTTGCATGCTCATCTCTGATGGGTTAATGTTGTGCCAAGCAGGGTGTGAGGTGCCACAGAAAAAGGTGCCAGGTGGCAGGATGCCTGGGGAGCGATTACACTGGGATGTTTTGAACCAGGGTTTTTGGGGTCATTACCTCATTTTTCCCTGAGATGATGTATTTGGTGAAATGCTGCTGCTTCTGCTGCAAAGTTCCATAGGGTGCTGACAGAGAGGGTTCGACAGGAGGTGTACCACTGGGTGGAAGGGGGACACAGATAGGATGAGACCAAGGCTGCCAGTTTGTGGGGACTCTTCTGGAGGGCAGTGCTGCCTTTTACAGTATGACGACCCTTCCTGTTAAAAACCTCCATTTTCATCTGCTTGTAAAAACTAGTGAAGCCTCAGCCAGCAAAGCACAAGTCTTCCCTTCCAATTGCCCTCTTCTTAAAAAAGGGGAGGGCTGATGATTATTTGAACCAAAATATTCATCAGTGTGAAAAACTCCACAGCTGGAGTAACACACAGGAGCTATTTCTTCGGTGAAGGGGATAGATGCTGAAGCTGAATGTGCAGATGGGGAAGGAGGACACACACTGAGGCTCCGTGGGACAGGGCAGGTCTCCACAGCATTGCTGGGGTGACATGAGTGGGGTGAGCAGACAGCTGGTGCAGGCAGGTTGGTTTCTCCCCTGACTGTGCCTTGTGAAACAGTTGACAATAGTGTGATTGCGTACTCCTCATGTGGCATGTGGGACGAGCTGTGAATCAGTATTTCACCACAGCTTATCTGCCAGGCCCCTATTTTGGTGTTACGGAAGTTGGAGAAGGAGGATGTAAATGAAACAGGAGCTGGTGAGAAAAGAAAGCTTTAATAAGGCTTGGTTGGGTCAATGAAACAATGGCCAAGACAAATACACAGTGGCTGCTGCAGATCTGGAGGCTTTCTGCCTCTGCAGGAACTGCACTGCTGCTGGGCTGCTGCTGAATGCCATTTTCCCACAGGGATGAGAGCAACTCTGTGTTTTCCAAGTCATGATATAATAAAGTCAGCATTGTGTCTCCAAGCCTCGGGTCCCACATATGGCAGCCACATGACACAAAGCTTTAACCGAAGAGAAACTCACTCTGCTAGCTTGAGCATGGTTTAACAGGTTTAAGGAGGTTAAAACCTGGCATCTTATTATATATCCTCATCTACATTTAGACTGATGCTGTTTGCCTGTGTGGAGTAGCTTGCTGCCCGGACTCTTGTGGCCAGGTTTTTTGGAAGGGAGTGGGATATAGTTGATAGATGGGTCGTTTGAACCTTACCTTGGTTGTGTGACTCATTTCAGGAAAGATCCTGTGCCCCAGCCCTGCATTTCCACTCACAGTGATTGACTGGCTCTTCCTACGTATTTTGAAGTGCATTAGTGCTAATTAATTATCTGTAAACCTTATCACCAGCTCACCTACTAGGAAACAATGCCTGCTTGAATACAGTAATCCCTAGGACTAATGTTATGTCAGGGATTGGCTGCCTCCCAAGAAATATCTCCCCAGTCTGTGGAAAAAATGTGCTGAGGCTGGTGGGTGCTGGTGGGATGTGGCTCCATTAGTATTAGTGGTGACTGAGGCAGCGAGTGGGCCTCTTTCTTTTGTAAGAGCTGAATGGTGGAGGATATTGCTCACATCCCACTCCACAGCAAGGGCAGGGCAAGCCCAGGATCCCTATTTTGGAGGGCATCAGTGGGCTCTGGACACAAACCTGATGGATTGTGCACCCCATGCCAGGGCTGTGGCTGATTGACTGGTGTCCCTGTGGGCACCCTGCTGCACCCTGGGGACAGGGGGATGGGGTAGTTAGGGCATGAACAACTCCTGGCAGAAGCAGATGCATGTAATGAGAGGTTCACTGGCGTCTTTGCCCCCAGAGCAGCAACTGGGGTAATTACACCCTGCAGCCTGGCATGGGGCAAAATTCGGAGTCTGTGGCAGGGGTTGGAGATGAAGCGGGGGTGGTGAGGGGGCTGATGAAGATGAAATGCTTAGAGAGAAAGCAAAACAGTAGGATTTCAAAGGCAGGAGATTTCCTCAGTGTTTGCATATTCACACTGACTTGGTGTGGGAACAGGCACCTGGTCTGGCCTTGGTGGCAGCCAGCAGTCGGTATTACGGGTACATATATGTCTTCCTGTGGAGAAAGCCAGTGCATCTGCGTTGGTAAGGCAGAGCCTTGTTTTCTCACAGAAAGACTTCTGACTCGTTTGTGCTGCTCCCTGTGGTCTGAGGGACCCTTGGGATCACTGATCCCCAGAAAACAGATGGGTGCCAGCTCAGGGCCATGGCCCAGCACTCCCTTGCCTGGAGGCAGGTGCTTCATCAGCAGCTGTGGTTTAGGAAAGTTTTGCTAAGGAGAAGCTTTGGTGTCTTGAGCTCATTTCCAACCATGAGGCCATGGAAATTCCATAGGAACCTCCTAAATTACTCTGTCATGTGGGATTTGGAGTGCTTTGCCATTTACAAACTCTGCTTTTAAGCATAAACATGACAGCTTTTCATTAAATCCATTATTAACTCTCTTCCCCTCAGACCATGTCCTCCTCCATCAAAATCGAATCTGTCGTGAAGGAGAAGAACCGGATGGGAGAGTGCCCGGTCTGGGAAGAAAGGGAGAATGCACTTGTCTATGTAGACATTAACTCACAGAAAGTTTGCCGCTGGAGCCCAATCACCAATGAGGTGCAGAGCGTGTCTGTGGGTAAGAGTCTGTACTCACTTCATTCCGGGAGTCACTCTGTCTGCCCCATCCTTCCCTCCTAGTAGGAGTCCTGCAGCATAGTGGTGTCCCTTACTCTCCATGGGGCCACATGCCCTGTCCTCCCACAGCATGTTGCTGAGCACGGTGTGGCCCAAGCCAGCTGAGCAGAGGGGAGTGTTTTCAGGTGTGGAGGACCATGTGTGTGTTGCCCTTGATAAGCCTAAATGGGAATGCATGTTTCATTTGGGACCTGCAGAGCCAGACATACAGTCCTAATGACTGTGTCTGCCCAGAAAGTGGGAAAATCTTTGGAACATAGAGCTAGTGAGATGTGCTAATGATCCCAGGGGAGAAGGATCTTAGCATCAGCTCAGCCTTTCCCAGGTCAGGGATGTCCCAGTGAAGCCCAGACACCCTCGGTGAGTGCTGACCGATGGCCTCAGAGCTACCTGTCATCTTCTGCTCCCTCTCACCCACAGATGCCCGTGTTGGCTCGGTGGCACTGCGGCAGTGTGGGGGCTACGTTATTGCCCTGGGAACCAGGTTTGCCTTTCTGGACTGGGACACCCAGGCAGTCACCACCATCCTTGAGCTCGAGCAGGATAAACCCAACAACAGGTTCAATGATGGGAAAGTGGATCCAAAGGGGAGGTTTTTTGCTGGTAAGTTCCCGGCAGAAATTTCCCCCAGAGCAAAGGGAAACTTATTACAGTGTATTTTATATAATGCATTTTATTCTTTGTTATTGATTCCTCAGCTGAGCTCCCTACAAAACCCACTGTCACAAGCATGAGCCAATTTGCGAACGCTCTGCTCAGTTACTGCCCGATGAAGGAGGACAAGGGACCCAGCATTCTCTGACCTAAATGAGGACAGAGGCTGTTGGCAAGAGCCATCCAACAGGAAGGCTCTGCTACTTGGTGGATGATGTTTGTCAAACACCTGCCTCTGTAGAAGGTGAAAAGCCAGTGAAAGGCTCATGTAGGTGGGAAGTTTTCTGATGGTATAGAGAGGGATGCAGCTTCAGCCTGGAGAAGAGGAGGCTGAGGGGAGACCTCACTGCAGTCTACAACTTCCTTGTGAGAGGAAGAGGAGGGGCAGGCACTGATCTCTTCTCTGCAGTGACCAGTGACAGAACACAAGGGAATGGCCTGAAGTTGTGTCAGAGGAGGTTTAGGTTGGATATTAGAAAAGGGTTCTTCACCCAGAGGGTGGTTGGGCACTGGAACAGGCTCCCCAGGGAAGTGGTCACAGCACCAAACCTGACAGAGTTCAAGAAGCATTTGAATGATACTCTCAGGCATATGGTGTGATTCTTGAGGATGGTCCTGTGCAGGACCAGGAGTTGGACTCGATGATCCTTGTGGGTCCCTTACAACTCAGCATATTCTGTGATTCTAGAACAGAACATGAGCTGCAGCTTGCATCGTCCACATGCAGCCTCTCCCAGTTAGCCTGTGGGAAACAGGGATGTGGGGAGAGATCCTCAGCCTCCTGAAGGGTTGGGTATTACAAAAAGCATCTTTAACCCAGAGGATGGTCAAGCGCTGGAACAGGCTCCCCAGTGGTCATGGTCCCAACCTGCCAGAGTTCAAGGAGTGCTTGGACATCGCTTTCAGGCACATGGTGTACACCTGTATTTTATGATCATAGACCATTTAAATGATGAAAGTGGCTTACAAAGAGCAACAGCAAAAAGAGCACATGATGCTTGCCTGCATCTTAGCTTGTACTGTGAGCAGAACCTGAATCCCTGGTGTGTCATGGTGCTCCTTTGGGTCTTTGGTGTCTGTGACTTAAACCTCATGGCAGTGCAGAAACTCATCCTTTCACTGGCCAGGATCAGTTCTGTGGGAGGCATCTGCTTCTGGTGTGTTCCTTTTCCTCCTTCTCATCAACCTCTCAGGGCCTGGTTAGACCCTTCATCATAGAACTGTAAAATTGTAGAATCATGTAATGGTTTGGGTTAAACAGGATCTTAAAGACCATTTAGTTACATAAAGACCACCTAGTTCCAACCTCCCTGTCATGGGTAGGGACACCTTCTACTAGACCAGGCTGCTCAAAGCCCCGTCTAACTTGACCTTGAACACTGCTAGGCATGGGGAATCCACACCTTCTCTGGTCAACCTCTTCCAGTGTCTCACCACCCTCACAGCAAAGAATTTCTTCCTAAAAATATTTTCTTTTTAGGAAGAAAAAAAAAAATCACAGTGCTGTGATTCTCCCTAGGACCTCTTGGTAACAGTCAGAGGAGTGTTTTGATTAAACACGATGAACAAGCTTCTGCTTTCTTCTAACTGTGCTCCCATTTCCATTTCAGGTACGATGGCTGAAGAGACAGCACCAGGCGTCCGAGCGAGGCGGCAGGGGGCTCTCTATACCCTTTTCCCTGACCATTCCGTAATAAAACAGTTAGACCAGGTGGACATCTCCAATGGTCTGGATTGGTCCCTGGACCACAGGACCTTCTTTCACATTGACAGCCTGACATACGCTGTCCATGCCTTCAGCTATGATGTGCACACTGGAAAGATTGGTACACATGCTTTTTAAATTTGGTGACAAGTAGCTCTATTGTTCTTTCTGCAGCAAGACCTGGGCCTGTGAGATGTGGTTATTTATTTGACAGATTTCGTATCTTCTGCTTACAACTTGTCAGTACGCTGACTGTGGTATTTCTCAAATTTAGCTACTTATCAGGTGTATTTGGTTAACAAACTTTTGACAGTCCTTCAGCTTACTTTCGTCTGGAGAGATGGCTCATATTTAGACCCATTCAAGGAGTTCTAGGGAACAAGCCATTTATACTCCGGAATGAGAGGGTTTGCAGGATGCTATTTACTCTTGAGTGCCATCTACTGGAACACTTTGGTTGTACTAGCTCCATAAATATAGATGGAGAATGTGCATGCATATATATCACAGAAAGTTATTTGGAGGATCAAGTTATCATCGTGACTGAGGTTTCCCAATTCTGAAATTAAAATTGCCTTCAGATGTTGGCAAATTTCACTTAAATTCACTTTCTGGGTAAACATTTTTTATTATATCCACAAAAAGGAAAATTTAGGTGCAAGAATAATGGATATAACTTCATTTCAAAACTCTGTGAAATATTTCTGTGCAGTATCAGCCTGATATACTCCAAGCAAATTTAAAAGGCTGAACCACCTTTGTACTCTAATGAGTGTGGACTTTGTGTAATCACGGCTGAAAATTACAGAAAATAACTGCATTCACTCAGATTTCACTTTGCTGAGATCATCTGTTCCTACAGATTTTTAAGATATAAGATTTCTAAAGAAGATTTTATGCAACTTTCCCTGCTGAAAATACAAAAATGTAATGTGTTTGAGCTTCCTAGCCTTAGCTAGGCTTGTGACTGTCTCTTTTTGGGTGGTGATAGCCAGAAGGTGCTGGGTCACTGCAGGTGGTCCACTGCCCATGGGCCCTGCTCCATGAACCATGCATGCGCCCTCCAATCCATCTGCACTGCATCCTAGACCACTAGCAGCTGGCATCCAGTCTTAATCAAAACTGGTTGCTTGGTTGACCATTAAAAAGTGAAGTTCTTGATCTTTAGCTGGGACCAATGGCTTATCACCAATGTTTAAACCCATGTCATTATTTATGTGACATATCCAGGCTGCCATGACCAATGAAAGTCCAGGAAAAATTATTGCACTGGCAGCACTCGTGTTGTGGCAGGTAACAAGTGGGTTAACAAGGGAGATGGGGGCATTTTGTTCTTCTCTTGGTAAAATAATAGGAGCCCTAATTCAGTACAATCCCAAACTGCAATGGCTTTGCTGGGGGCTTGTTTCTGCCTAAGAAAGGCTAAGTCTCGCTTCTAACAGTCTGCAAAATGCATATATGATGTACATTTTGCAGAATGTCTTTCTCACAGAAAATGAACTTAGCTGTTTGCAAGAGCATGGAAGATGTTAGACTATAATCTGATACAGAATCAGTAGCAGCCCACATAACACCAGCTTTGTATCTCTTCCCACAGCCTGCCCCAAACTTTTGTACCATCTAGAAAAGGAGGAGCAAATGCCTGATGGGATGTGCATAGATGCAGAAGGGAAGCTCTGGGTGGCCTGTATTGATGGTGGCAGAGTCATTCGTATAGACCCAGAGACCGGTAAGACTTCCACCAGCATGTGCATATGAACATGAGAGGAATGGCAGCCAGGAAGAATGGTTTGGAGGCGAGATAAGAAGGTGTAATTTACTGCCCATTTCTGCCCCATGGGTTGCCAAGAACATTCCTGGTTCAGTCCCCGATCATGTAAAGACTGCAGCTCCCTGTGCTGCCTCCCAGTGCCAGGTACCCCTGCTCCCGTGGTTTGCTGATGCAGCACGCACTGTTCTTAATAATATAGCTAAAAAAAAGTGTACTGCATATCTACTGCAATTAAAAAAAAAATCTTAGTGTTGTTTAACTGAATGTTTAGCTAGGAAATGCTGTTAAGGAATGAATGATGGCCATCCTAGATCATGTGTTCCTGCCCTTCCTGGCCTCACATACTGTATTGCTGCATTTTGAGAAATGGAAGTGAAGCCCCACAGATACGGGGGAGAGCCTGAAATTTAGTTAGAGATGAGGCAGATGAATGAATTTGATATCCCCACAAACTATCCTTTAGAATATGGTTTCTGTCTGAAGGGGAGATGCCTTCCGGGTAAGTCCCACATCTGTACTATTACATTCATAGTACATTCATAATTACATACTTCCTAGAAAATGGACATTAGAAAACAATTGTATGTTTTTCCCAGGAAAAAGAATTCAAACTGTGAGGCTGCCTACTCCAAGGATCACCTCTTGCTGCTTTGGTGGAAAAGACTACTCAGAAATGTACGTGACTTCTGCATACGATGGACTGGACGAGGCCACCTTAGCTAAGGAACCTCATGCAGGAGAGATTTTCAAGGTGAGCAGATTTTATTTCTTTCTTTCTATACGTCGGACCTGCCAAACCTCATATTCTGAGAGTGTGTTGGTGTTCACCAAGCTCACATTTGTCTTGAATGGGCAAAGCATATTAAAAATTACTATGACTTGTTTTGGAAATAAGGACCACATATAAGGGCTGCAGATAACATTTAAATTAGCAAAATTATTGATTGGTGCTTGATAATCTTAGTGATCTTAACCTTAAGGAGTTTGGAAAAACTACATGCAATTACTCTTTTTGG